AATCATTTTTGAAAATCATACATGTGGAAATGTTGCCGATAATAATTTGTTCACATGTGCAGAGGTTTTCTCAATCCATTCTTTTGTACGGTCCACATACAAAGGCCCTATTCCCTTGCCACCATCGTTGCTCCTTCTGTCTTGAGATTCAAATTTGGGACTAACAATGTTTACTGATTGATCACTACCATCAGTATCTATATTAGTCTGCTGAGCTTTAAAGGGTAAATGACGCAGTTCCTCCAAAAGTGAAGTAGCAGACTCATACTTCTTTGGGTGTAAGCCAGCAGAAGCATCAATTGACATATCAAGACCAGATAAATTAGCATCATCCTCAAGGACTATCATAAGATACTCAGCCAAGCCCCTAATGGCTTGGTTGATAGCTTCCACACTTCCAGCAGCACCACTTATCATTGTTTTAGAGACATGCAGAACTTTTGCAAAGTGGCTAACAACGCCAGGTAAAAAGAAAGCCAGTGCATCTGCGGTGCCAACCTGCAAAAGAATTGGAACCAATAGGGTTAATTGAAGCTTTAATGTGCAAAGATGAATTCACGGGCTAGTAACTTCCATGAAGACCTAAAACAGGAAAATCCTCAAGAGATAGGCATCTGCATTACCTTAGCAACAAGCACTCGAAGGGTCAAAAAGGCTTCAATTCGGAGATTTGCACTACCTCGATGTCCTCTTCCAGCCTCAGTATCTGCAGCCTTAGTAGAAAACTCTTGATCAATATCAAATAGAAAAAATGAAGAAACAGCATTAGGAAAGATGAAATAATCCAGAATAATTCATTTGTTAATGAGCAAGAAAGCAGGCATACTTTGAGAAGAAGTGACAGCCAGTGTCCAACAGCAGCAGAAGCAGCTTGGGACCGCAAAAATGCATGTAAACATTCTCCCTGTTCTGGATCATGCTTAGAAGGTCCAGTTGGAGTAGTTTGCATATCTCTACATTCTAAGAGCATAGGCAAATCATGAATTTCCTTACATGAACAGGACTGTTTGAACAGGGAAGTATATTTGAAAGCAGAGACCTAAAACACTTTATCACTCCTTCACGAAACTCTTCTGCAGCCTCAGATGGAGAAAGTAAAGCTGCTTAAGTTAGCTTTCTCAACACCACAACCATCTGTGACAACATGACATCATATTTCAGGTCATTAACATCACCTTCTACATGGTGATATAATCGTGAGAGCTTAACACCAAAATGTTGAAAAGATGAATGAGTGGATGAATACATCAGACAAATAAATCTCAAATGATCAGGTTGGTTTCCACAAATAGCTGCAGACACTTTTCAGCTATGGTTAAGCATTACCTATCAGAAAAAGGCAATCATAATCAACTAGCTAAAGAAGATAACATGACGAATCCATAATTGTTCTCAAAGATACCTAATTGCTCCCTGAAATTATTTTCCTCATTAGAGAATAGCCAGACCGATGATTAAATCTACCAAGATAAAACAGCACTAAATTTAAACTAAATAACGTTACAAACGAGCAGGCACCTGTTCCACAGATCCTATATGACACTTCTTCAGAAGCTCCTCCAAACACTGAAGCACACCTTCAACTACTCTATCACTCACTTTATGCGGCCCAAGAAGTTCCTCTGTAGAAACATTTTTCTGCGACTTTCTATATTCAACTGCTGCATCCAGTAGAAGCAGCAAAGGGAACAAGGTGTAGCTGAATCACACATGAACCAAAACAGGATAAGTCCAAACATCATAAAGAGAATCAAAATCAAAGCAAAGAGGAAATGAAAGGAAAAGAAGCAAAATTTCATTGCACTTACTCGAAGAAAGGCTGAAGAGCATCAGGCGGAGAACTGCGAAGCAATTCAAGCAATGCAGGGATGGAAAAGGACTGCTTGTTAGGGTTTTGTAAAAGCTCCAGAAGCTCTAGGCAGTAGGGTTTTAGCAGCATGAAAAGGCTGCTTCCTTGAGGTTCTTCGTCGTCGCTGTCGGAGAAACCGCCGGAGACTTTAGCAGAATCTTCCATCCAAAGAGATGAAAGAGTAACCTTTCTTTCTATGTTCACGGTTTACTTCCGGGAAGAAGCGCGATTTTGATGTTGGTTCCAGAGGATGGGAAGAAGCAGAGAAGTGGAGAGGAAGGCTGTAAATTGAAACGAATGATGAGGGTGAAAAGGTCAGTTCAGTCTTATTTTCATTGATGAGCCGGGAAATAATCAAACCAAAGCTACTGCCTTACCCCATAATTAAGAGCTCCAAGCACAGTTCAGTTAAGGGTGGGCCTAGCGAGAACTG